AAGCAATTACTTTGGACTGCCACTTCTACCTGTGTGATCTGCCAGCCAGTTTTTGCCTAATAGAGGGAATTCCTGTGGTTGACAGTCACTTTTCCATCCAAATGATTTCTGAAATGCTGCATTCCTCTGTCCACCAAGAACTTATTCTCATGCCCTTGGGATTAGATTTCGAAATCAAAACTGAAAGTCTTCGATATGTGTCAAGTCAGATACATTGGGTACTTAAGGCAATGACATGTTTCTGATCTGTCACTTGTGTAGAAGGTAAATTGTGACTGCTCTTACTACTGAGCACGGTTACATAATATACATTAAACAGTATAGAACAGCTTAGTTACATACACATAGTTCAGTAAGACTAAGAATGCATTAATAGCACCAAAGACAAAGCCAGTACAAAGTTTTCAGTCCTATTCTTTCTAGTTTGTATGAGGCTTCCTCACACAAAGTTAATATAGCATCCCTTAAAGAGATGGTGTCCAAGTAACAAAATATATGGGCCTGAATGTAATTTCTTAAATCTGTGCTGTTTCATATTATTGCAATTTTTTGGATGACTTGCAATTAAAGGAGTTTTCACACTCACATGTTTTAACCTTTGGGTCTACTACCTAGAAGATTCCTTTGGGTGCTCTCTGAAGAAAACTGCTAGTCTTATGCCAGAATCTGATGGCACCATGATAAATAACTACGCAGAAAATAGTTATGGTTATTAAAACTCCTACATTTTCTCTGGGAAAAGAAAGTTGGAAAATAACAACATTTTTGCAACACCTAAGCTGTATAATTTTGAGATTTGGGATGAAGAATGAAGACCTAAAGTGCATACTTGGGAATGTCTTCAAATGCTGTAATGGTTTCTTGAATATGCATTTTTAATATAAACTTAATCTTGCAGTTTGCATCTCAACTGAGAGTACATACAAAATGAAATACCAGTAGCTCTTTTTGCAGTAAGAAGAAAGAGTAGATTGCAAACAGGTGTTCTTCAGGAAACAAGTAACAGTTGATATACACGACAGCTTTTTGCTTTTCATACCATTTCCATCTTGCCCACAACCTGATTTTGCAGAGTTAGTTGTTAAGACTAGACATTGCTAAGAGTCAGCTCTAGTTGTTATGTGTTCTCTGTGTAGGCAATATTAATAAATGGGCAACCCTAAATTTTCTTCTGTCAGTTTCTACAAAGATGGACATATAGATGAGCAAATCCAAGCAGAAGTGGATTTAAGCCTTCTACCTCCTCAGTTTCGTGTACATTACTAGATGAAGTTCAATGCAATTCATGACTGTCCAGTGTTAAGAAGTGCTGTCAATGTCAACTGAAGAAGTTGCTACGAAAGTGCTATTTCTGTCCAAAAACCTGAACTTAAGCACAGTGGTACAGTCCCAAAGAAACACTTCAAATACAAGTTGAAATAATTTAGCACAGGAGTGTTCTCAGACTCCTGAGTAGGAACTGAGATGTGAGCCCTGACGATTCAAATAGATAAACAAAACTGTGCAGTCAGGTTGTGCATAGATAAAAGTACTGTCCTGGAAATGTCTATACTGTGCTGATCCAGTAACTGTGCCTACTTAGATTTGTAAGATGTTGATAAATTAATAGATCCTTGGAATAATAATCATTTTGCATAGTCAGCACCTAAACCTCCCCAACCCTTCTCATACTAATAACCTTAAGTGCATGCACAGGGCATCAAAGAAAACATTTTTCAGAGATGAGAGTATAACATGAGGGCACAGTTCCCATGCAAACATAGCATTTACCAGTATTACTATGCTTGGATCAAAATTGTTTTCAAAGGAAATTATTTTACTCAAGTAAGTGGAGCTTTGTCCCAAAATAAGGCTGTTTAGTGTCATTCTGTGCTTTGGTAGTAGTTTCAGTTTGCTTTTGAAATGCACCCAGGTTTCTAGCAGGATTGTCTGAGGTCCAAGCTCTCCTTAACAGATAGCCTGCCTGCTTAAACAGAGAAGATGATATTTTCAGTCGTGTTTCATTTATGCATGTATCTGCTGGTTATATTTATCTCTTACTCTGAGATTAGAAACAATATTCTGAGCCTCAAATGGTATCTTGGGGCTCCTAATCTCTATGTCATTGTACAAGTGACTCAATCTCTCTGCTCTTGTTTTCTCCCAGTATAACATAATAACACAATGAATGCCATCTCTTAAGATTGAAGTGTTTGAAGGTGTACTTCCAGAGCTCCAGGTAAGCTCGTGCAATGCCAATGCATACACATTTTGTGACCCAGTACAGTTTATTCACATTGGAGGCGTGCAGTTGTTACTTTTCAGCATCACCAAAGTAAAATTTCATCATCTAAGTCTAGGTATCTTGTTTCTACAACTTCCTAAAGTTACTATCACAAGTAGTCCTATGTAGTGAAGAGAGCAAAGACTGAAGGGCATGCAGTGACAATTAGTTAAGATCCTGATTGTATTCTTGTGTCCCAGCCCTGACACAAACACCCACGTTCTGTTCCCTGGTTCCATATTAAGCACTGCAGCTAGTCTGTGGTTATGAAGAGTGCTGCTTTTACTAATGCCCTTAACACCTATCACCAGCATAGTATTCTCATTAACAGTATCTCAGTTTAGATTTGAAGTTGACACATTGTCACACTCCTTCAACAGAATAGACAGTTCCCTTCTAAACGGTATCTGGTTTGAAATTTGAACAATTGCACATTTAAGGTCTCACAAGATTTTGAGTGTATGGATGATTTTACTGTGTGTGCTGCAGAAGGAGAGATCATGTGCAGAGACCAAGGCAGAAGTATCCCACATGTGGCAAGAGAAAGACAGAACTGGACTGCTTGGTGTAGAAGTAGCTGTAACTGCCATGAAAGGAGCTTACAGAGAAACTTTTTGGGACTCTGGGCTGAAACAGGTGCAGAGCTGTGAATAAAATTCTACTATGTATGTTTGAGCCATCCTACATTCAAGATACTGGGACGTTCTTTGAAAATGAACAAGATCAGCCAAGAAAACCCTAACTCTTTCAGTTAGATAGTGGTAGATTACAAAACTTGAACATTTTGGCTTTCTGCTTAAGTCAAGGGAGTAAACACTGCCTTTGCCTGAATCTTCTAGCAAATGTCCAAAGCCAAGTAACTCTCTGGCAGGTATGTGGAAGCAGGCCTTGCCCTGCTTAAAATTGGGTCAAGGACACAGCATTATCACGAGTGAAAGATGGAGGAGCTGGACAGAGGTATGTGGAGATGGCATGGCTGCAGTTTCCACATTACCAGTAAGATATGGGTACATCTGTTGGAACACAGTTCCCTTCTATACAGATACTGTCCTGCCATATCAAGCCCCTTTACAGAGTGGTTTATATCTGCTCTAAATGTATATAAACCCTGGTACTGTTTTGTTAAATCAGAGTTCATATTGATAGAGGACTGAACCACTGTCCCTCTGGCTTCTCTCCTGTAGCTGTAGAAATAATCTTCTGTCTGACCTGAATCTGCAAAGTAGATTGCATGTTTACACCATGACAGGTATTTTGTGTAGCAATGCACGAAAGCAAAACAGCTGAGACTACTTCTTAGCAATTTATGTTCTGTTGTACTTCAAGCCTGGGAATTTCTGAATGGCTGAACTCTACTCTGTGAATCCAGGCAGAATGCTCCTTGCTCTCAAATCAAGCCATGGTTTGTAATCTGTTTACCAGATTAGTTTTAAAAAGAGTTGACGCACTTGTCCTTTGAAGGAAGACTATTAGAGGTATTTATTTTCAGTCTCATCCTAGAACATTCTCATTTTATGGGCAGATGCCAAAACATAATAACGCAGTATAAAATTTGAGGGCACTAGAAGGTATCTTAGAAGTACTTGATCAGTTAGAGCTTAAAGGAAAGAACTTGATGAGACCATCAAATGCAGTCTGGATATGCAACGGTATGTTCTAAGCTGTATTTGATGACAGACTGTACTTGTTGACAAACAGTTTGTTGCTACACCCCAACTGCATTTAGCATGTAGATAATCCATTAGTGCAGGACCTCTAGAAGCCTTCCTGTGGCTTTCAGAAGGGTGGTGCAATTATTATGCTGGATAGAGCCAAGGTGATTATTGAAGTGGGATGTGGGAGGGTCTCTTCTACTTAAAATAGTAAGGGAGTGGGTGTTCAAGAGTTAAGCAAGCTCACAAGAGACACAGCCAGCTGCAGCTGCTCCTGGTTAGGAGGGAGAGGGGAAAGAGGGAACATGTATTAGCCTGGAGTTGCTATTATCTTGGCCAGTTGCCTTCAGGCTGGTATCAGTTGCTGTAGACCCAAGGCCAAGGGTAGCTCAAACTAAGGGTGGGGTGCACAGGAGGAGAGGAGGGACCAGTGCTTTCTGTATGGAACAGCAAACCTGAGATCCAGCAGCAGAATCCAAATCTGAATCCCCATCCAAGGATAACAGAGACAGGCTTGGTCCTTTGATAGGCAAGGTGAAGAAGGAAAAAGACTGCAAACTCTGTCTGTTACATACCCCCCTTCCTGCCCCATGCTATGCCCGCGTTGGGAAATCCTTTCTGTTCAGCTGCCTTAAGATGTTCAAATTCCTCTCCCAGTCCTTAAGTGTTTTATGTAAGGAGGAGATTCACAGTTCCTGAGGGCTCATGAGAAAGGGTACTTTAATCTCAGCAGGTGTCACACTTCACTAAACACAGGGTCAGTTAATGCAGGGGTTAGCCATTGAGCAGTAGTCACCTGATGGCTTTTGGCATATAACCTTTACTTTTCCATGTGTTTCTCTAGTTATTGTCATCCATATTTATCACTCTTCTATTTACCAATTGTACTGAAGTGCAATAGCTCCTAAATTTTCATGCATTATTAAGAGAAAATCTAGCAGACTTACCTTGTTTGTATTAGGTATAATTTACAATGCATGTAATAAGTAAAATGCATTCTTTTTAAAAAATGAATGTGTGAAGTTATACCAGTTGTAAGGAACTGGAGGAATCAATGCCTCAAACATTCCTTGACACAGAAAGCCTCAAGGACAAGTTGTGGCCTTTGTGATTAGCCTAAAGAATGCTGCCCAAGGAAGCGCCGAGTGTATCGGAAGGATGCATGGCTCCACTTCTTGCTGCTATAGTGCCAAATTCCTCAGGTAAGCCTCAAAGGAAACTGTATGTTCAGGCCAAAAAGACTAATAAGCTGAAGGCTAGACAATTACTCAAGAAGAAAAAAAATGAGGAAGAAGTAAAAGTGGTAGGGGGGGAACATGATCACCTCAGTAGTCTCCCATGGAAATGAGTTCATGGAATACCTGCCTGTCTTTGTCAAGTATGCTTATCAGCTGATAAGATGAACTTAAAATGTGACAGCAAATTTTGCTGTGTGTGTACCCACCACTCAAGATAAGCAGACCTGAGACAGTGTTGGAACTTGGAGTGGTAAACCTGATTGTCCGTCCTTTTTCTTTTCTTTCCTTTCTTTTATTTCTTATAGATGTATGAATAAGAGACCACATTGCTTACTATCATTTTCCAAGTTTAGGTCATTTGGTGTCGTTTCACCTTCATTTAACCTATGAGGATCACAGAACCTTTACGACTCCCTGAGCTCCCAGTCCAGGTCGTAACACCGGTGAGTTACATTCTGGAAGTTAAGAAGGAAAACAAAGTTTAAAATTTAAGGTCTGTGTATGTATGTCTGATCTAAATGTTCAGAACTGTGATTGATATCACTTGGTATCAAGTGATCTCCCCAGAAACAGTTCATCTTGAAGCACACAAAACCTAAGCTATCCAACAATGTATTACTGCATGAAGATAATTCTTCATTTTACTTCTGTAATACTTCAGAAAATTCCTTTAAGACTTAAATTGCCATATTAAGACACTGAAAATAAACAAGAAATAACTGGTGATTGACCACAGATAACTAACAACTCAAAGAAAGCAAAAAGGCCTCTGGATCAGACAGGAAAGAATTTCTAGTTCGTATCAGTTACCCAGGATGGGTAACAAATATACAATTTAACAAAAAATTAATTAAAAAAATTTATCATCTCTCTCATCTAGTATAGTGGTGCATTCTTGACTCCATGTTAATCAGATTTTATCAGCAAAGCAGCACTCTTACTGGTTTTATTCCTGATAGACACCACACTAAGAATCCCTTTTATCTTCTAGATTAGCTTGAAAAATGAAACTGTTACTTAAAAATCTATTTTATTGAAAAGAGAATATGGACTCACAAAGCTTGCAGCTTATTATGGCCTTCTAATATTTTAAAAAGGCACAAAGCTATGCCACTAGATTTTTAACAGCCTTGAAACACGTCTTTTTCTCCCACAAGTGATTGCCCAGGATGAAATACCACTTCTTTAAATAAATATTTTACTTTATTCCATGAAAGGTTGCATAAATTTACAAATTTTTTTGATTCTCCTAAACCTGATGCCAAATTGCTGCAAGAAAATTGCTCATCAGTCTTCCATTTCTGTCTCTGGATGGCAAATACTTAAGGAATTTCACTGACCTGATGCACTACAAGGTCTGATCCCAGTGCACATACTTCATGTAGTTTATCATAGCCGGAAATCTGATGCTGTGTGTAAAACAAAAGAAACTATAAAACAGTGCTTCTATTTAAAATTAATTTAACAATGTTTTTTTGTTCCCTCTCCTATTTTCTTCCTAGTTCAGAGGGTGAGATAACACATTATTAGTTCCAGGCATGTCTGGAACTGCTGACAGTGCTCAGGAAGTTAGCTCATCACCACTCTGTCTCAGACAGGTGGAAGTCTCCTGAGAAAAACTAAACCACGTTCATAAACTATCCCTGGAATGCACAAGTTTCCATATGAGACCAGACAGATTCTTGAAGATAAATTCTTCCCTATCCTAGAACAGGGTCCATTGCCTATTTAAATTAAATTCTGAAAAGAGCATTTAAATGGGATTTAAATAATTCAAGGTTGATTTTCAGCACGGCAATGGAATTTTTCTTCTCTGGCACTGATCTTACCACGACTGTGACACTGATCTTTAGGGATACCATCTTCTCGGTTTAACCCTCGTTACTGGTTGAGAACATCTCCAGAATTTACATAAGCATTAGCCATAATTGTAGAGGAAAATACAATGCAAAGTAGTTCATATTATGTACCAAAGTAACTATTATTCTCTATGTAAAGTGTACAAGTCTAAACATTTTTATCAGCATGCTCAGAAATAATGATTCATGTCATAGAATATTGTGGACCAGCGGTATTCTTGCATTATATTGCACTAGGTGGAAATCCTCAGCTGGGCTGCTATAGACTATAATAACAGCAAAAGCAAACTGATGGAAGTAACAATGATGAAAAGCAGAATGTTTTTTCTCTTAGGACTCATAACTGCAAAAATGTATTGAAGAGCATTGTTCTTACTATGAAAACAGCAAATGGATTCACAAATGAAAACTAGTAAGCACAAGAAAAATAGCAGATTTCAGGGCAGATGTTTAAGGTTCATTTCCTAGCCTTCAGTTAAACAACATGATTCGTCCACTAGGAAAAAGATCTTTTATGAGAAACAATGCAGTGATCCTTTTTAAAATTTATTTTTGTAGAAAACTATTTCCTCCCAAATACTAGAAGCTGCAAAGCCAGTCAACCTCACCTCTGTGCCTGCTAAGATCATGGAGCAGATCCTCCTTCTGGAAACTATGCTAAGGCACATGCAAAATAAGGAGGTGATTGGTGACAGCCAACATGGCTTTACTAAGGGCAAATCATGCCTGACAAATTTGGTGGCCTTCTACAACGGGGTTACAGCACTGGTGGATGAGGGAAGGGCAAATGATGTCACCTACCTGGACTTGTGCAAAACACTTGACACTGTCCCACATGACATCCATGTCTCTAAATTGGAGATACGTAGTTTTGAAGGATGGACCACTTGGTGGACAAGGAATTGGCAGATGGTCACACTCAAAGATTTGCGGTCAATGGCTCAATGTGCAAGTGGAGAGCAGTGATGAGTGATGTTCCTTAGGGTTGGTGTTGGGGCCAGTGTTGTCTGACATGTTTGTTGGTTACATGGACAGTGGGACTGAGTGCACCCTCAGCAAGTTTGCTAATGACACCAATCTGTGTAGTGCAGTCATCACACGGGAGGGAAGGGATGCCATCCAGAGGGACCTTGACAGGCTTGAGAGGTAGACCCGTGCAAACCTCATGAATTTCAACAAGGCCAAGAGCAAGGTCCTGCACAGGGGTCGGGGCAATCCCAAGCACAAATACAGGCCGGGCGAGGAGTGGGTTGAGAGCAGCCCTGCGGAGAAGGACTTGGGAGTAGTGGTGGATAGAAGACTGACTCTGAGCCAGCAATGTGCGCTCACAGCCCAGAAAGCCAACAGTGTCCTGGGCTGCATCTAGGGAAGTGTGGCCAGCAGTGATTCACCCCCTCTACTCTGCTCTTGTGAGACCCCTACCCCGAGTACTGTGTCCAGCTCTGGGGCCCCCAGCACAAAAAAAGGCATGGACCTGTTGGAGCAAGTCCAGAAGAGGCCACAAAGATGATCAGGGGGCTGGGGCACCACCTCTATGAGGCCAGGCTGAGAGAGCTGGGGTTGTTCAGCCTGGAGAAGGGAAGGCTCCAGGGAGACCCTATAGAGCAGCCTGCCAGTACTTAAAGGGGGCTACAGGAAAGGTGGGGAGGGACTCTTTGTCAGGGAGGGTAGTGATAGGATGAGGGGTAACGGTTTTAAAGTGAAAGAGGGTAGATTTGGGTGAGATGTAAGGAAGAAATTCTTCACTGTGAGGGTGGTGAGACACTGGCACAGGTTGCCCAGAGAAGCTGTGGCTGCCCCTCCCTGGAAGGGTTCAAGCCCATGTTGGACGGGGCTTTGAGCAGCCTGGTCTGGTGGAAGGGGTCCCTGCCCGTGGCAGGGGGTTGGAACTAGGTGATCTTTAAGGTCCCTTCCAACCGAAACCATTCTATGATTCTATGAAACCAGCCAGGGAAATGGTGGCTTAAAAGTTGTCCCATACAAAAGAAAATGAACATTATTTAGTGGCTAAAGCATTCAGGTTTTTTAAAACATTGTGAAAAATTGTGCAATTACCCAGCTCCAGAGACGGCAAGGCAGTAGCTAATGGCAGAATTATTTTCTTTTTCATGGCTGTTTGTTTGGTTTGACTTTTTTCTGTTGTAGATGAATCTGCCTGTTTTCTGTGACTGTTAATTCAAGATATTTTTTCCCAAACTACTAATTTAATGAAAGATGGTGAGCATTCTTTGTTGTTTAGTCCTTGGCTATTTTACTCAATTTCATAATCTGCTTTCCTTAAAGTCTGAAATCTAACTCTAAACTAAAGAGTTTATTTGATGGTAAAATATAATAATGACACTTTGTGCCTGTCTGATCACATCCACCTAGATTTCACCATTATTGAAACACCAGCCATCCCAACAATCCTGAGAAGCAGCTGATATGATCTGTGTTCATTTTACTGATGGGGAAAATAAGACATAATGAAAGTGTCTGGAAAGGTTGCCTGTGAAATTTGTGGCAATGTCAGGACCTGAACACAGATTATGGTGTGATTTGATTCCTAAGCCAGTGGTTTCCAACCACCTATGGCTGTGGACTCACTGCACAATTGTGGTAAATAATCTACAGGTGATTCACAAAACCATACTACCTTTATAATGTTTTCTGTTAGAAAAGCTGATTGTAAGGGAATGTGAAAAGTTATGTTTTCTTGGTCTGAAGTATTTGGAAAGCACCACCTTTTGCTGTGAGTATGAGACATAATATAGTCAAAAAGCCTGTAGCTGTAATTGCTAAATGAGTTTGTGTCTTCATGCATCTGTGTTTTTCTCTTCAGAGATGTACAAATGAAAAACACCATGATAGCAAGATATGTTAATTGCATACTCACCCACAGCACCAAATGTATGTATATCCTAAAAAAGAAAAAGGGAAGAGAGAGGGAATATTTGCTCCAAGAAAAAAATTACATAGTTCCAGCATATGAAAAGAATATTTACTCCGAGAAAAATGATGATGTTCCAGCACACTCATGACAACAGACATAATGTAGGACACGGGAAGGATGCAGAGTCACTGCAGGTACCTTCTAAACCCATTTTAAAGAGACAGGAATACTGTCCACTTGTCTTAATGACATACTTAAGTACGCTTGTGCTGTGGCTACTGTACCCATTTTTCCAGGACATGTTCTACTTTCCTGCTCTCAGAGTCTTGCCCAAGCAGGTGTTTTGGTAAAAGCATCTCGCGCCTGTGTTTTTTAGTCTGCGAAAGCAGAAGCCAGAGTTGTTGAGTTGTTGCATGGGAGGCGGAGCAGCAGTACCTGGGCGGGCAGAGCAGGAGGAACCAAGCAGCAGGCATCTGGCTTCTGGACAGAGAGCTTAGACTGGGATAGGAAGACGGGGGAAGATTGGCAGCTCAGGGTGAAGAATTTAGGGAGGCATTTGAAAGGAATGGGATGATATGGAGTGGGAGAAGTTGAATTTTTGTCTTGCAGCCATGTAATTCTGAGTTAGGATACACTGGCAGCACTGGGACAGGCAGGGACTGGAGCAGAAGAGGCTGGGGTGTGCGTGTTACTTGAGGGTCCAGGTAGGATG